TCAATGTTGAAAACATTTACGTTGGATTTTTTTTTTTTTTTTTTTAAGATTGTTTGATAAGACGAAAGTTTCAGAATATTTGAAACATTAACATTGTAAATGTCTTTTCTGTCATCTTTGATCAATTTAATTTGTCTTTGGTTGAAAAAAAAAAATCCTACTGACCCCAAACTTTTAAATGGTAATATATGTACAGTTATGATTTTCTAAATGTCTAGGTAGAAGCTCAATTGATGTGTGTGTGTGTGTGTGTGTGTGTGTGTGGGTGTGTGTGTGTGTGTGATATTTAATTGATTGATTGATTGATTTATTGATTGATGATTCATTCATTCATTCATTCAATACAGGCAATGAAGTCAGATATTAGTTAATGTATTATATATAAGATCTTATATAAGATATTATTAAGATATTACCATCAGCCAAAAGTTATGCATTTTAGCACTTAATTGTAGCACTTGAGGTTTTGTTTACCATGTTGTTAAATAGCATATGTGTCAAGAAAGGGGGAGTGTCCTTTATTTGCCTAGAAAAGAAAGTGAGTCTCTTTTATTTTCTTCTGCTAAGGCTGGTAATCCTCATTCTGCCAAAAAGAGTTGGAAAAGCCCACCCCTGCGCCAAAACTATATTATATTCTGGGCTCAGATCCCTTCTTTAACGCAAATCTATTGGATTTGTTTACCCAGTTTATCGTACGCAAGCTGAAAATTGTCTGATCATTCAAGTTGCAGGATTTGGGGAATCGGAAGTGTGGCGTGTGTTACACACTGAAGTTTATTACTTAGGACTAGAGGTTTTGAATAACTTAGTAAGCACTAATTAGCTGTTTTACAGCTCAGTGTCAGTAAATAGATAGATTGGGGAGCTAGTTTTACAATGCAAGCTTTGTTGTAGTTGCCTGCACAAGCAAATGCATTATTTTTTATTTTTTTTTGTTTGGTCTTCCAAAAGAGGACGATATCTGCTTCGTCATGCCTGGAGCTGATCCGTGCTGGTCGCTGAGGAAGTACTACAACTTTGCGCTGTCGATCGCCGGATCGGCTTCCACCGTGGACGAAGTCACATGTCCTTCCGGACGCTTCTTTATCGAAATCGCCGATGTGGAAAATAATGTGTTTTTTGAACCTTAAACCGCATAAACACATTTCATTACACCAAATACAACAAATACTGTTCTTTTTAGCAGCATCATATGACCCCTTTAAGAAGATTCGATTTAGATTCCGAAAGCGGCACTGCAATGAATCACTTAAGTCAATGAGTTTCATATAAAAGAACTTGCTGACTCACAAATAAGCTTTAATTTGTTTAATTTAGAATGATCGATTGTTCCAGATTTCTATAATGATGTTTCATCCTCAATGCTGTTTAACTAATGTTTGCATCCAGAGACCGATACAGAGATGTCATTAAGGTAGTGCCGCTTTTCCGAAGACAGACAGAAATCTTTAATGCGAACCTTAACGAGGCCCTACATTGATTTTCTGAATGCCACGCCGTTGTTTGAAACAGCATGTCATCTGTTACGCTTATTCTTCAATCGCACGTTCATTACCGCAAAGAGGAGAAGCAATTTTGGTTCACGCAAGAAAGATTCGGTCATAAATGTCCAGAAGGTAAACTTTGAACAGTTGCAGTCACTTTGTTTTAAGAACTAGAGTATGCTATTTGTTAAAGCATGCATGAGAGAGCAAAGAGAACAAGCAGTGGTTCTTTTGCTGTGCAAGGAAAAGAGCCAAATGTGTTTTTATTCTCAAGAGGAGGCGCTTACCTCCAAAACTCTTAATGGTGTGATCTAAGAAATTAGGTGTAACACTTGCCTGAGGAGATGTATGAATTATTAGAGGAGTAATGATTTAAATAAGTAAATAATTCATACCCCTCTTTTACTGCACATCTAGGAGAACTTTCATTATTTTCCAGAGAACATGGTGTGTGATGACATGAAAATAGAAACATCAAAAATAGGGATGTCAAAC